TAGACATCAGTTGCCATGAAAACTGTCCACAGGGGTAGAGCAAAATATTTCAAAACCTTTGCAAATAAACACAAGATTATGTACAGTACATGTCACTTAGGGGAAGGGACAACTATGTTCTTTGTAATTTGTTTGAACTGACACTTCAAGGAAAAAAAGTCATAGGAGACAATAATTTGATTGGCTAATGCCATCACTCACATGAACAAGTGGAGCACTTCAGTTACATGTTACCATAGCTAATAAGGAGACCAAGTAATAAAAACCTTTTAATTGGTGACATGACAAAAGGTAATTTCTTGCCCTGACATCTTTCTCTTGACTAAGCACAGACATTTCAGAAAATGACCCTGTACCTTCTCCACTCTGTGAATCTGGATGTCCTCAGGTGCCATGAGGAGGACAGTGGTCAGTGTGCGTGCATTCATCTTGGCTACAGGGATGGTGAAGACCAGCAGCCAGGAGAGCACACAGGCGAAGGAGTGGACCACAGCCAGGACAGGGTAACCCAGCAACAGCCAAACATAAGTACTGATACGGCACTGCAGGGAAAAACAAAGAATCATTAAAGTCATTAATAATATACATATATATTACTGACCTTCCCACTGCACCAAGCGCTTAAGGTCATTCTGACCTTCTTACCCAGTGCTTTGAAATTTTTCTAGCGGGTGGTTCTGGGACGGGGATGTCAACAGGGATTGGGGAAGACATCAGAAGGGGAGCAGAGTCCTTGTCCCTGACAAGGTCTTTGCCATCTTCAGTGTCCCCCTCTTCAGGAATGACCTCAATCTTTGGAGGCTTCACAGTGGAACTCTTCACTACATCACCGGCCTGAAAGATTAAATGATAACATGTCACTTATCAGTTTTCCAGATGTTATGTTAACTAAAAGTTTACTTGGGAAATGCGGCTTATATAATTCTTTATTCTTGTAGCAGCTATTGAATATATTCCAGCTATCACAGTCACGATATACTGCAGGAATAAGTACTATATAAATTCAAAAGACACATGAAGTCCAAAGACAGGACACTACTTATCATATTACCTTGTCTAATGACTTCCCAAATGGCCAAATAAAGTACAGCGCCATCTTCCAACACAGTTTGCCTGAAAATGGAGAAAAAACTAATTGATGATGTTCCACATTTAGGGAAAGACACAATACTCTGAGTAATGCAGCCATTTATAGAAAACATACCATAGGGAGCACCGAGGATTGTTAGAAACATTATAGGACAAATGAGGAAGTAGATTAAAGATATCCACCATCCAAATAAAAATACGTAAATTATGTTTCCAAAGGTGACCACTGAGCCTGAAAGAGAGGAGAAATCATAAATACAGTTTATTTCTTTCCTGTAACAACCCCACAGTATGTATGAGTATGCATGTAGGTCCTATTAAACTAAAGTGCGAAGGGAGAAATGAAAGAAAAAGACCTTCTCGGGGCTTAACAATACTGAGATCAGAGTACAGCTCTTTGATGATTTCTGATCTGTCTTCGATGGGCTTCTCTGTCACGTTTCCCTTCCACTTTCTGAAGCCAAACTGAAAAAAAAAGACACAGTAAAACATGCAGTGCTAAAGAGTTCTGTCACAATATCTTTTACCATGATAACTGTCAGTTAGTAGAGATAAATGTAGTCAGTTTGACACAACTACAGCATGATTTAAATTGGAGGCAGCAGCGTGTTTCCTTTCGCCTTTTCATGATTAACTCATGTCCAGATGAAAGCCAACAATTAAACTTTACCCACGTTTCCAGCAGAGTTCTTAAACACAAGAGACACAATCTGAGAATGAGTCGAGCTTCTTTGTATTTTCCCTGTATTTTCTTCATGAGCTTCACCTGTTTTTCTTTTCTTCCCTGTCAAACACATGAATGTTTGAATCATTCTTGATAACCCGAATCGATAGGCTTTCCAGCATGAAAGCACTTGTGTATTGTTCCCACATGAACTCCATATTGTTCCCTCCAGTCCTGCAGGTACCCCTCTGCAATGCCTCTACAACCCCCAGGGAGCACTGCCCCACAGTTTAATAACCAATAAAGAAACTCAAACCTACAAGCAGAAGCACATCCTGGGATTTAAAAAAAAAAAATTCTACACTAAAGTCGTAAAAAGTTAGGTGCAGAGGATTGACTCAGTCATGGCTCACCTTGTAGTTGTTAGCTTCCCTATGTGCCTCCACCTCATTCTCAACTCTGATTGTGGTCTTTGTGGTGGCTTCATGCCAACCCTCTTCTCCATACCGCGATGGAGTGGACCGGGCTGAGCCGCTGTGCCCTCCTGTGCACATCACAACTGTCAGATGACTCCAGAAAACATAATCCCAAAACAGCAGATGATTTCTGTTCTCACCATTGTCACTTTACTTGTCTGTCTACATTTGTACATCTCCAATGTGTATGAAGCAGATCTTCACAAAAACTTCAGCTACTGATGATTTTCAGACACATTTTTATGCTAATTAACCTTTTAAAATTAAATATTTTTTATATTAACTAGTAAAAGTTTTCCAATGCAACTATGCTCTTTTAATTGTTTTAATTGTTTTTTCTCTGGTGTCAACTAATGTCTCATCTCACCCCTGTGGACAGTGAGGAAACATTTTGGTGTGTAGTGGCAGAAGTGATGTGCAGAAGCATCTGGGGAGGGCGTCTCCACTGCACCCAGCTCTGGATGCTGGGGGCCAACGCAGAGTCTATCAGTTTGGGGCTGTTGACGTGAAAACCGGTGATGCTGCTCAGGATCCGCACAGTTCTCTGAATAAAGAAATATCATGGAAAACAAAGTAATAGATTTGAAAGGGTGCAGTACATTAAGCAATATTTTTGACATGATTTGATTTTTTTTGACAGTTTAACAGTGAAACGGCCAATCTACACAACAGAGAGGGGCTGCATTTAAAGGTGAGGCGGATGACCCACATCCAGGACCAACGCCCTCAGCTGTCCCATGGAAATGTGTGTGACTAACAAAAACCTCCTGAGAAGTCATGCAGTGTCCCCCCCACTCTGTCAACTGCTGTCTGCCAAGACTGATCACATTATCAATGCATTGCAATACAGAGATAAGGAAACTTAGGCGACAGTGCTGAGCTTTTGAATTAAAAATAGAAGCGTTCTGGTTACACTGTATATAGTCCATCTGCTCATAATGTTGTTCATGAGAATCTGACAGAATGTTTAATATCCCAAACTGTTTTATTGTGTCTGATAAAAGATGCACAGTGAATGTTAATGGAGCAACAGGTAGATTTTGGAAGCAACTGGAAGTCAGTGATGCAGAAAACTGATGTCCACATGCCTGATGCCTCCTGCTCTTAAGGAGCTATATTTTGGAACAAAAGAAGAAAAACATCCACAATCATCCAATATTCACATTAAATGATTAAAAACAACCATAAATTGTGAGGAAAGATCAGTAACCATGCCTCTGATTCCAGAAACAAACTTCAGCTGAACTCTGTCCGACACAAAACCTCACAGGAAGTGTTTTTGAAAAGTTTGGCAGTACAGGTGAGTTCGATGAGCGTGCTCAAAACAAAGTAAAAGGTCAAACACGTAAGAAAGTTAAGTTAGAAGTCAAAGCCTCATGTTTTTAAATGTGTTGTGGGGGGTTAAACGCAGTTTGCAAGTTGTTAAATTGAGATGAAGAAAAAGTAGGTCCAGTAGAAGTAGGAGTAGTTTAGTCTCACCTGAAGAATCCGCCGCGGATCTCCTCCGCAGGTTCTCCACATCACCTGGCATCAGTGTGGACTTTCTGTGGGACATCTTGTCTCTTTACTCGCCAAGTGTCGCTCCTGAAGCTGCGCATCGACGGCTCATCCTCTTTATAGTCTGTACAGTCACCAGTTGTTCGCCACGGCACACTGACGCTCAACAAAGGAGGGGGGGGGGGATCAACTTTAGCGCCCCCCAATGGAGGAATCAATAAATACACTGTCTCATCAGAAAGATGTATTCTGCAAATGCACCGTGCGCATGCGCAATTGAATGAATTGAACATGGCTAAACAATCACACACAAATGAAGGATTACTTTTATTTACACAGAAAAACAAAAACTACACTTGCACAGTAAAAGTGACAGTTATTTTTTTTTTTACACAGTTGGGAGACAAAACACAGAAAAATCTTTTGACACCGTCAAAACTTTTAAAGGCTTAAAAAGTAATACTTAATTACCGAGTAATCTTCATTTAATTTCTTAATAATCTTTGAACATAGACTTTTTGGGAGGGTATTAGCTACACTTTATTTCTGTTGCCAAATTCACTACATTGTTAAATTCATAGCAGTGTGGTAACTACTACCAGCATAAATAATCCTCTCTCACATGAATAACTGGACATATTAGACAAAGCTAAAAAGCGATCTAGCACAGTCTACTTCAGCGTCATTTATCCACAGTGAGTGTAAAATGACAAGACTAGGTGACATTTTGGTTACAGCACAAGTACAGTGACAACTTTTTATAGCATAACTGACTCTTCCCTTTTTATATATCATGTCAGCAGAGTATCAAGTGATTTGATATATAAATCTGTACAAATAATACCCTTATTGAGAAATCTATGAACAGCCTATGTACAGTACAAACACATTGAGAAAAAGAGTGACGGAAAAATGCGAGCATTTTGTTGAGATTAAGAAAAAAAGAGTGTAAAAAAAAAAAAAAGATTTTTATGCCCACTGCAGTGTAAAAGACTTCATACAAAAGAGTTTAAATCTGGACTGAAGAAATGAAGGAACACATATATACAACAGATAAACAAAAGTAGAAATACTGCTGTAAAAAAATAACCCTTTTAAAAATAACTGTACAAGGGGAAATGTTTTTCTGTAATATACAAAGGGAACTCAACGAGAAAAAGATGGTCATTCCATTCAATTCAACTGAACAATGCAGCAAGTTTTTGTCCAGGCAAAAAATAAACTAAGTGTTGGTTTATTGCACCAGGCAACTGAACATATACAAAGAATTAGTGTGTATTTTAGCTCAGTAACATTTAATTAGATTTTTTTTAAATGTTACTATTAGATAAGAAGTATTAACTATAAGGTAATAATTTGGGTAATTCTGATGAAAACTGAAGTAAATTATCACAGTGTAAAGCTGAGAAACTGATGTGTTCACTTAAAACCAAACACATGTTGTGTTACCATTTCTTTTGGTACTTCCTGGTTTCAGTTGAAGTCCCAGAGTGTATTCCAAATTCTTAAAGAAACCTCTCAAAGCAGTGATGATAGCACTAACAGGGCATAGGTGATAATGGTTAGTACATGAAGTTAACTGTACATAAACACAATTAATTACTGGCTAAATAGTGGAGGGAACAGAGCCTTAAAAACTTTAAAATATAATACAAGAGAAGACCTGGGTTCAACAGTATTTGCAAGCAGCTTTTTAAACCTGTAACCTGTGTGAGTCGTGTTTTTACTGCACTGGGACAGTTCAAATAATTATGATTAGTTAGAATACTGTTGACTTTCAAATAGTTTTCTAGGATTACACCTTAAAAACCTTAAATGTAGTGCCCTTTCTAGTAATCCCAAAATGAGTTGACTGGGTCAGTTGCAATTTTGACCAACAACTTGTCTGACACCAACAGGACTAATAACCCTGCCACGTTTAGAGTTTAATGTTGTCACAAGCAGGGTTGAGCTGGTAGCGTTTCAGACTAACGGTATCTATATTGTTTCAAGCCATGTACAGTTTAGCTGCCTCATTTGTCTCATCATCATGGAGTTGCCTTTGAAATTTTATTGGACACAAATAAAGTACAAAAAATAGTTTTTCATTAACTTATTCACAACATATTTTTTCACTTTATCCTTTTGCTTTTTCTAAAAAACAAACAAACAAACAAACAAACAAACAAAATCAAAGAAAATAAAAAATGACCAGCTTAGTTCCATCTTGACCTCTGGGCATTGGAGTCTAGGTGCACTGTAGTAAGAATTTTGAAAGTATCCAGCACTTTTTATAGCTTACAGTCTGTGTACCACAAAGAAACAAACAGAATTGATTGGCGCTTTGCTCTTAGAAGTCAGAGTCAGCATCCATAAGCTCCGCCTCCATTAAATTCGTCCGGGAGTGGATGGGACCATAGCCGGCCCTCCGGCCCGCTGGTACCCGAGCCACGTGGGCCAACCTCTCTGACAGCCCGTCGCTGAGATCCACCTCCCTGGGGTAGTGAGAAGTTCCTCTAGGCTGCCAGGTGGAAGTTGAGGGGGGGCAGCGTGGGCCGAGACCCAGATCCTCCGGACGATCGTTGAGGGTCAGAGGATTAGAGAGCAGCCTGTGGCCGTAGCTGTTCTGACTGCTCTGGTAGGGGTAGGGACATCTGTCCTCACAGGACAGAGGGTGTGAGGGTTGGAAGTCTGGGTAGGACCCTGGCAGGACTTCCTCCTCCAGCTTCTGCTGTTGCCTCTGCTGTTCCCGCAGATTGGCAACCAGGCTCGGGTGGCAAGGCAGTTTGGGCAGGCGAGGCACTGAGCTGCGGCCAAACTCACGCTGATGATAAGCCTGGTGGTCCACCACCTCCTTCACTGGACGCACCTCCTTCTTCCTCTTCTTCTTCTTCTTTTTCCTCTTAATCATCTCTGGTGAAATCTCAGCCTCTACCATCCACAGTCTGTTCCTCTCCTCTGGAGGTGGCACTGCAGAGAAAGAAAAAGGCAATAAATTATAATAATAAAATGAAAAAAGATGGAAGGAAAAAAAGGTAATGGAGGAAAAAAGGAAAGGGAGGGAACGTGTGACTTGAAATGTATTTAATGCAGTAGGTGTAATGTCAGAGTCACAGCCTCCAGCTCTCACCTGGTGTACCAGTAGGTGTGACAGAAATGTCCTGCGGCAGGATGGCACCTCGCCTGGCCACCATCTTAGTCACATGCTGTGCCCAGGCTGATGACATGTCATTGGATGGCTCATTGAGGTCAAAATTGATTCCAGCTATGAATGCGAAAAGACAAGCCACACACTCTCCATTTAGAGTCAACTAAGGGCAGCTTTAAATCCATCACACTCTTAATGACTCCCCTGTGGTGCCTCAATAGCTCTGAACTGCTCCAAGCTAAATAAGCACAGCAGCCACAGCAGCCTCACAGCTTATACGAGCAGAGGAATGTGTCATTCAGTTCTTAGCTACAGACATAACAGCTGCCTCTGACCATGTTGCTTCTATGCCACAAAAAAGCAAATGGAAAATCTATCCTGGCCAAATTTGAATGAAAAATAACATAGCAGTAAATGATTACATCAGTACACATGGTGCCATTTTTGACATCATGTTACCAAACACAACAAATCTGGTTGTGGCTGGTTCACCCAAATTACAAAAAAATCCATCTTTACCACTTATCTCAAGTGGAGCCAAGCCATGCAGCTAGTTTAGGTTTTGAGATATCCACCAATCATCAAGCATTTTTTCCGTGGTTCTCACAGCATTGCAACATATATAAAAATGACCAACAATTTGTCTTTGCAGAGACCACCCACTGATTAGAATCACTTTGTACCAGAGAAATAATCCCTACTAGGAAACACAAAAATAAGTGATTTCAGATTCATCTGCATGGCTGGATAAGTCAGAAGATGTCTTATTGTATTTTGGGCGAATTAACTAGTATAACAGCATCTGACAACTAATACTGTACAATAATAATATGAACATGAGGTATTATCTTGATTATGAATAATCCAAATAAGACTCTGTGCAGTTTCAGTTATTTACCACAAGGTGGAAGTGCAGACATATCTTCCACAGACAGTAAAGTCAATAATCACCCACTCTAATTTATCCTAAATTGTCACATTAAACTTTCTCTGAATGACTGATCAGAATTATTTTCTAAGCATCTCCAGAAACACTCACCCACGGGCCCGTCATGAGACACAGTGTGCATGCTGAACGACAGCTCCTTTTCAGGGTCCTTGTGGAGCTCCTTCCTCATTGCAAACGCCTTGGCAATCATCTTGCTCTTCTTGATCCTCTTGGGTTCATTGTCGCTGCGGCCAATAATCCTGATTCGGGATAAAGGAGATTAATATGCAGAGGAGGACAGAGGCTGCAGAGGAGATGTATGTTTCTGAACCAACAAGAGAAAATATGAGAACAAAAGGTTTGAAATTTTATGATTATATTTGGTCCTGATTCTTTATTCTGGATGATAAAAGAGGCAGTCAAAGACAATCAACAGCCTCATAACTGATACTGACCCACTAATAACAAAAGAATAGGACCTAAAGTTTAGAAATAACTGAAAAACCACATGCTTAATACCACTAGCTGTTATGTCCTGCATGTGCTCACTTTTTGCGTTGCTATGGAAAACAGAGGATAAAACCGTCTTAAGCCCAAACCGAAAACAATAATTCCATGAAGCTGAATTACTGTTGTACTTTTTTTTTCTTTTTCAAAACAAATTCCTGTGAGTTAAATCCAAGACACAGTGAGCCCTTGTGAGCCCTGTTAAAAAAAAAAACCAGGGATTAACACTGCAAACAGACCAGCACACACTGGGGACGCCATACAAGATTTCTGCAAAATGTATGCCTCAATACTTTTAAATGATCAGGGTGGAAATTCCCAGGAAATGCTGCTGCTTTAACGGTACACGCCTGGCTGCATAAAAATGAAGAGATTTCCCACACTGTCATCATATCCTCATCACCATATATGGACGTGGACAGGCATGCAGCCACAATATGCTCACATGCAATAAGCAGTCTTCAGTATCTAAAATAACTTTTAAAAATAACTGTGCATTTATTTTTAATGTTACAGTTCATGTTCATTAGATGCTTGCTTACTTGCACCAGGTGCGTTTCCAGATGAGGATGGTGGCTTTGGTCCACACCCAGGTGCTCATGGCGATTCCAGTCCCAAACATGGAGAACAGGTTGATTTTCTCCACCATGAGGCTTGGCCGGTTCTTAATGGTGCATTCTGGGATTGGCTTGTTGGTCTGAGAGGCGATCGTCACGTTGGCTTCACACCTGTTGAGAATATCACAGAGATGATCAGCCAGTGTCCTGGCCTTGCCTGCATGGGGGCCTCCCACACCTTCAAGCCGTACGACTGAGGTACATTCAAACGCTGGTCCTGGTAAATAAGAAGGTCTGTTTCATGTTTGGGCAGGAGAGAGCGGTTTACATTTTTGAGGCTAAATTAATTCCGATCCAGCCAATGTCAACACTGTGGGAGGAAAATAGGGCTGCATTCACCGTTGTGAGTTGAGCGGTCGAGCAGCGGTTTGGAATCTCAACAGCATCAGTTCGTGGATTTGTGTGTGTGATTGGATGCAAAGGGTGAGCCTGAAGAGGTGGCTGTAACAGAAGTGCTTTCACTCGCTATGAAGTAGTTGTGCAGCAGGCAGGTGTAAACCTTTGTCACTGTGCTATGTATTAACAATAATAATTGTGTGTGTGATCAGCAATAACAAAGTAAATCTTGGTATTTCTGTCAAAAAATAAACAAAACACGTACAGCACGTATTCTCTGAAGCTCCTCTCCCATTCAGCCTGGTTGAAGAAGTCGTAAAAGTGGCACCCGAAGGTGATGAAAACAAAGCCAAAAGCGAGGAACCCAAATATGCCTGACGAGGAGAAACAGAACAACAAATTCGATATGAGATACCAGACATGCCACCCCCAACACAAGTCATACAGAACAGGAACAAGCACCTAAAGAGGTCGTGAAATATATAGAAGGACAACTTGTTTTCTTGCTCATTTCTCTTTTTACGAAGAAATGAGCTTGGGATATTTACTCAGAATGATGACGCTCATTCTGTGCATTACACACACAGTAGACAGGGATTTCCCATATCATATTGTACCATCACAAGTCTTGACATTCCTTGTTCACTGTGGTCACTGATGTGCTGCTATAGACTCTTTGCCAAGATGGTTTTTACCCTCATGTTTCTACCTCACCGGTTTGTTAAGGTGCGGTAATGGACAAAAGGCGAGAGAACAACGTACCCAGTCTCAGCATGGTCTCGTTGATTTTGCTGGCTGCTTTCTCACTCAGTAGTCCTGGGTGGTTACTCTTGATGGAAAACAGGGTCATGACACCTACAACAGAGAAATGAAATAGACAGTGTTGATTAGCTGACACGTTTTTAAAGGGATTTTCTCTGTTATCATAATTATTTATTTTGTCTTTGAAATTTGAGCTATTTGATTTGACATGACCAAACCATGCTGCTGCTATCATGTTACGTGTGTGTATGTTTTTGTGCTCACCCCGAATGAGAAAGTAGCCGCCGACGACAAGCACAACACCAATAGGTGCCAGCACAAATCCAGCGCGGTATCTGTAGTTTTTGTAGCCGACAAAACAAATCCCACTCACTGAATCTCCGTCGACCTGTGGAGCACCAGAACACGCAGACAAAAGATATCAGAGAAGTGACCATGTGATCGAACTGAACGGGTGGGAAAAGTATTTTTAAAAATCCGTGTGAGAATATTTAAAGCAAATGACTCGCTACACACCTCAGCGATCGCCAGGATGGCCACAGTGAGGACGAAGGGGATGGACCAGGTGACCATGTGGAAGTAGGAGGTTCGGCCAGACAGCGGCTGGTGGGTGGTGCCCAGGGCTTTGAAGGATGTGTGCCAGGCATAGGTCAGCATGACAAACCAAATCACACCTGACATCAGGGAGTAGTAAACGATGATGAAGATGGTGACACATGACAGTGTCTCTGAAGACCTGTAGAGAACAACCCAACATGAATCTGATTTTTTTTTTTGCTGTATTTTCTGTTTGGGAATAATTTCATGCCTTTTTCCTTTTCCTTTTTGTCAGCAAACATATGAGCACAGGTGGAGGTATGACTGTGGGCTGAGGACGTGTACTTACGAGGGCTCCCCGAGTCGCATGGTGTTGTCACTCTTGCACACAATCTCCTTGCGTGCTCCATCCAGGAACTGAGCCAGCCAGCCAATACTGCCCACGAAGAAACAGGCGTTGATGTAGAAGAGAATGACGGCTGGGTAGCGGTTTGAGTTTTTCCAGTCGGCGAGAAATGTGGCCTGAAAAAATAGAGAATTGTAAAAGTTGAAGACGATGGTTGAAATGAAATAAAAAAAAATGTGTCTTTGCCAAATAAAAAACAAACAAGACTGTGGGTGTGGTATTCATATCTCACCAGGGTGAAGAAGGTGCAGAGGAGGGTGATGGTGCCGAAGTAAGCGATGTAGACGTGCATGTTGTTGTGCTCGGCCTCAGTGAACAGAGGGTTGTCACACTGGATGCCGCAGCCCTCCACATCCTTGTACCAGCTCGACTGAATGTCCGTCTTCACCAGAGGAGCTTCACACTGGCCCGATGTGTTAAACTTCAGCTTCTGCACCTCGTTCTGCACACAGAGGAGGAGATGGAAAGGTGAGCTTGTAATTCAAAAATGAGTAAAAATGCGAATCAATTAACTGGACTAAACAATTAATGGACAGATCTAAAGTGCAAGTACACTGCATCCTGTTGACCTCTGACCTCTAACATGCAGTGAAAACAGACTTTTGCCTTCAGGGATCAATGAACAGTCACATAACAGTGAATCATACCGAACATCCCACGGGGAACTTGTCACATTTGAGGAAGCTGGGCCATCCTCTCTCCTGGTCCACGATGCTGCAGGGCTGACGTGTAGCCAGACACAGGCTCTGGCTGGGCAGCTCCACTCGCCCATTCTCACATTTGGGCATGTAGACGGCACAGAGCAGTGGCTGGATGACCGACCAACAGCGAGGAGCGTTCCGCAAACCTAGGACGTCAAAACAGTGACACGTGAGCTACATTCATCTGTTCATCAGTTAATCTGTTGATGATTTCCACTATAAAATGATAATTGTTTTGTAATTTGATTGCATCCGATGTCTTGTTTTGTCAGTCTAACAGTCCAAAACCTGAAGATATTTCATTTACAATGACATAAAACAGAGAAGAGCAGAAAGTCATCACAGTGGGAGAAGCTGGAGTCAGTGAATGTTTGGCATTTTTTGCTTAAAAATGACTTAATGGGACTCAATCAACTCTCAACATAGTTGCAAAATATTTCCATCAATTCATCAACTAATAGTTTCAGCCTAATAAAGTGTATTCTATGAAAGGTTTGGCTATGAGATATGATAAACTATAATACATCCCTGAGGACGTCAGTGGTGGTAAACCAGGACATTCTGCATCCATCTAGAGGCAGATTACATTTGGATCATCTGTTAGACCCAGACACCTGTCAGGCAGTGACCTGGCTCTGGCAGGTTATTAGCAAGATGTTATGAATGTGAAAGTCCTCTTGCAGAAGATCTAAACACCTTTTACTCGCGAGACTCTCCTATTGTTTCCTCGCTAACACCTATGAGTGATTCCTTTTGTTTCCTTTAATGGCTTTTAACCCTTCACTTCCTGTCCAGGCTCTCTTCCTCTGTGCCCCCTGACACTCCTCATCACAGCTCATTGTCACACCAATTAACATTATTATCACATTAGAGCAAACAATCAATGCTGGATAATCGGAGATCCTTGATCAAATGAATCCCACTGTTTATTTGTTTATTGGTTCATTTAATATATAGTTGCTACAAATTAAAAGTCAAAATGCAACTATTCTGATAATGCATTCATTATAAGATTCTCATTCCACACCTGAAGTGTTTTTGCTCATCAGTAATGAATTTATAGTGAAATGACTGTATTTATTATCACTTCCTACACATGTTATTCACTCCTGTAGGACTTTATAACTGAAGGAACTACCTGCACTTTTTGTCATTGTGTAACCTCCTGTCACAGACTTGAACTGCCTCTTACCAGATCATAGACTGACCCTGACTCTTCCTCCTGTGAGTTACAGGCTATAGAATGTAATACATCATCTTTAAGTGTTTTCCTGAGCCCATTACATCTTACCAGACCACATGGTCAACTTCTCAAAAGCCTCTTCTTGGGTGCTGGAGTCCTCCGCCAGGATCAGAGAAGTATGTGTATACGGTAAAGGAGATCCCAGACATGTGTTGTATTTAAGTGCCTCGCAAGTTGTCGTTTTCTTGCAGTTGTCCTCAAATATCGTCCCGTTTGGAGACAACACAGCCCCGGAGCCTGAAAGCCAGGCAGCCCAGACGCAAAGCATCCCGTAAAATCCAACAATGGGGCTCCAGCCGTGGGAAGACATCTTGGGAGCGAGAATCAACTGTGCAAAAAAAAAAAAAAACAAAAAAAAAAAAAAACGGATTTTTTTTGTGATCTATTGCTTCAATGATCCTTTTCCCAGAAGAGACCCAGAGGGGACGATTTCTTCATTAGACGTGGAATAAGTTTCCAAACGCGGCATGGTGAAGAAAAGCTGCGGGGCGCTTCAAACTTTTCTTACAGTCCTCCCAAACTTTTTTATCCTGCACTTCTCGTCCGATCCTTGCTGGATCCTCCTGAATTCCTTCATTATCCAAACGCCAACAGCTCCAAAACTGCCCTTAAGTGTGGACAGAAGGGACGATCAACCTAGAGCCATATAAAGTATTCATTTGAAGCGTTTAGGCTGGGTATGAAAAAGACACCAGGCCGAGAAAGTTGCAGATTCGCCCTCCCCCCACGTCCAAAAAACTTGCCATGAAAAAGTCTGGATCTCTGTAACAAGATCTCTAGCTCCGATGCACCACCCCTTTCTCCACAGCCCCCCCTCTTTTATGCTGGCAGAAAAATAAGATGATAAATGATCCTACATCTCTCTACGTGTCCCGGGACGTGATTTCTCCCCGGTGAAGTGTGTGATGAGAGGTTTCTGGGGCTTTGTTGTGTTCCTCTGGGTTGCAGCTCCGTGTCTGGTTGTTTTTTGTCTCTGGTATGCACATGGTGGGGGAGAGCCAGAGCAACAAAACCTCCCCTCCCATCCCCCTCTGCAAGTGGAAGAATGTGCCTTATGGCAGGCTTTCTCAAAAGTGTCTCATCTCCAGGACCCCCAAAACAACACAGACCCCCATCTGGAAAGTTCACTCCCATGTGAGAGGATTTTTGTAGTAAAGCATGTCCTCAGTGTCAACTTCAAGGAGTGAAACTGGAACCCCAGGTGTTCCTCAGACCTTATAAGAACTACTGACCAACCAAAACAATATATAGAGGCTCAGCAGCCATTTACATACTGTAGATATATTTAAAACGCATATGCACCCAAAACTGTGTCTCCAAACCCATTTCGGTGGCCAGTGCTGCTGATGCTGTACAGTCTCTAAAGATAGTAACCAGCTTTTCATAGCATGAGCTTTGACATCACCTTTGAATAAGATCAGGATTCACGTGCTACAACAGAACAAGAGGTAAAGAGGCATTTGACTGAAAAAAATGGAAATAAAAGAAGAAAATAAAGAGATACCTACAGAGCTCTACATAGCAATATACAGTATATCTACATTATATAAATTACAATACCTGAGCCTAAATGAATTGTACAGCTATCCATGCAATTACTGCAGCAGACATGATATGTGTATTACATATAAATACAGCTATAAGTATGAATAATACATTCAATATACATAAAAATACTGTGCTTACCAGATATAAGCACTATATGTAATATGTACATACAGTATCTGCACTGATGATGTTTGTTTCTGAAGATATTTATGTAGTGAAAAGTAAACTCCCTTCACCCCCTCCCTGGACTAGAATGTACTCATCTGATTACATAAGACCTTCATGTTTACCATGATTATCACTATAAAGTCTCATGTATTAGACAGGTGTAAGGTTTTTTTTTTGTTTTGTTTTTTTACAGTATATTGATCGCTGTTTGCCTTAAGATGATTGCAGGTAAAATGTCTCAGCCTTTATCAATAATGTGTAGTAGTGTGCATGTACTGTACATCTGTGTGTGGGACAGAGGGAGTGAAGGGACACAAACCAGTTTCCTTTGGGACACTCATAATGGACTGGGCTTCCTCTGGCCTGGTTAAGGTGGTTGCAGAAAACGGCTAAACATAAAACATGAGAATACATCAAACATTAAACTGACACAATCACATGGGATGATGTTAGTGTTTCTGATTTTGAACCTGCCAGGAGGAAAGCAGTAACACCAGGTCTGTGCCAGGTCAAATCTCCACCATGGTGCTGTTGTTATCACATTAATTGGACAGTGCACTTGTGGTATTTGCATGGCTGCAGATGCTTTGTTTCTCCCCTGGTGTTCTGAAAGCAAAACTGGGTTAACTCCGCTCCCTCCTCTGGTGTGTGTGTGTGTGTGTGTGTGTGTGTGTGTGTGTGTCTGTGTGTCTGTCTCTGGGCCTCCTTAAAACCCACCACAACATGGCCGCCTGAGTGAGTCAGAGGCAAAAAACCAGGGACCACACACAGAGCAATGGAGCTCAGGCCAACACGCACTCACTCACACACATACACATATCAAAACACACTCACTATCACTGCTATAGAGCCGTAAACTGTGGTCTGTCCTGTCACTTTTTTGTTGCTTCTTCTAAATTATTACATATAACACCTCTTAAAAGCTCTTTGTGCCATCAGATGGGTGATGCCGTAGATCCTGGTGTGTGCTGAACAGAAAATCACAGCAAGGGGAGTAACCACAGCTTTACACTAACATAGAAATGTCATGTTTAGATTGTGGACTTGCGTCAAAGGCTGTGAAACATGCAGGACTGTTTCTGCTCCCAAAGATTACAGGCATCAGGTTTCAGGCTGTTAAAAAAAAAAAAAAAAAAAAAAAAAAAATTCTCACAGCTCAGGTTCTCATTTGCCGGGCAGAGAAATGGGGTGGAGATGAGAGGTTGTGTTGGTTTATGCTTCTTCACAGCTACATCAGACTTTTGGCCAGAGCTTCCCTTGGTAACGAGTAAAGACGTCTCCAGTCAAATGACAGCTCTCCAATTAAAAGAACCACAGGATATGCCTCAAATTATTACGTGATAAAAAAGTACTGAATGCTGACATTTACAACTGTGGGTGTAATTCACAGAGACAAAGAGCACTAAACATTTATGACCACACTGAACGTGAAGCTTAACAAAAACTGTGCTATCAGAGCAAATCACACTTTAATTGGTATCAAGACAACAAGCAGAGAGGGTGAGATTATTTTTAGTGCCAAGTAAATCTCTTTTCCTCAGTCAGAGAAGCTCAGCCACTGTCTGCTCACTGATAGGTCACAGAGCACAAACTTGGCCTGTTGCAGTGACTACATCAACAAGCAATTCAGGCGTTCACACAACTGTTTTCTTTTGTGGGAAAGCCGGGAGTCCCCGCTTCTTCTGCGTTTTAGTTACAACTGCTTCACAATAAAAGAAGAAGAATAAGAGATGAGAACAGGGTTCAAATGACGCATACAGGATTTAAAATATATCAACCACAACCACAACACACGTATGTACAGAGTATGAACTGCGCGCAGAGCGTATGTGATTTGTTTGTAATGGCAGCCCATTGAGACACACACCCCACAAAATCCAGCAGCTCTGCAGTCATGCAGGCCGTCAGCTGGCTAAAATGTGAGCAGGAAATGACCTCATGTGTGGCATGAGGTCTCGTCAGGACAACCAAGGAGTCCAACATGGCCATGTAGTGGACGCTCAGACCGTTGGTGTAAACATTCGTTTATAGCTCTGTGAAATGAAACATGTTAAAAATGCTTATTATACTGTTACAGGGGTACAGGCCATTTCTGGCACCCAGACATAAATACTCATTTTAACACACAGGTTTAAGAAAGAATAAATAACCAGACACCAAGTGGCATATGTGTATCGTTCATTTAACACAAGTATTTCATCTATAAAGTTTAAAAAAAAGAAATTCATATTGTAGAATATACATTTTTAAAACATGAAGAAAAACAATAGGTGATGTATATTCCAGTGTGTCAGAATCCCCTCACAGATGTGTGTAACAATAAGCAGTATTACTGAGCATGGAGAAATCATTATGTCTGACAGAGTGTGCAAAACAATACATTTTAGAAAATGCTATTCCCTTTTCAGTTAGTTAACCTCTGCAGCAACACGGATACATGGACATGTTCTAACTCCCGCTCCAGTTTGGCATCTCGGAAAAAAACAAACAAACAAACAAACAAACAAAAAAAAACCAATATGAAATGCATTGTTGTAAATTATACTGACTGCAGTTCTTCACTAGAGGTCAATATAATGCCCCCAGTCCCGGCTTGGCAACTACTACTCTACTAAAAATGTTTGGTAAATGCAAACACAGTCTACGTCCAGTGGGTGGCGACAGAGTCCTGTTTCTCCATCTGTTTCCTTTTTAAATCCAAGAGGAACAAAACCAGACTGACAGATGTTTTTTTTGGAGACCTGGCATAAATACATCTCCCCCCTGCTGCTTCCATCACCACGTTTATGCTTCTGTTCATCAGAATCTGGACCGGTCTGGGTCAGCTCCATGGGTCAGAGCGGTGTTTGAGTTGGTAGCTCTGGAGCTCGACCTGGTCTTTGATCTGGTTGATCAGAATCTGAGACAGGACGATCCCAACCAGCTGCAGAGGAGGAGACACACACAGAGGGGCTGACTGGCTGACTGCAACTGTTAACCCCTTCTCTTACAGGTTCAAGAACAATGTATGCGTTTGTGTGTGCTGGTATGTGCACTGTGCACAACATCCTACCTGTGGTATGGCCAGTCCCAGTGCAATGCCTCCAAGCAGGAACATGTTGCTGTGAATCCAGTTAACTAATTTATCTATGCAGCCATTGGTGTGGATGTGGTTTCCAGCATCAACGTACTCAAAATCCTGCATGTCCTGGCCGCACATGGTGTTGATAACAACCTGCACACATATAAACAAATGCAGATAAAACACATAAAGCAAAACAGTAAAAAAAAAACACCAAATGTTATCAGCAGAGTCTTTAAAGAGATGACCTTGTCTTTGGATATGATACAGCAGGAGAAGGGGACAGAGCAGCGCTCTCTGCTGGGGTTCTCCTTGCTGCAGTTGAAGTACATGTTCTGGGACCAGTCAGTGTAGGTTACACCACCACAGCAGTCAAACTGAGGAAACACACACACATTTGAGATGGAAAAGATTAGAAGACATGGCAGGTATCTGTGTATGCAGCTCCAAAGACTTTACTAAGGCCACTATTACCCTGGTTTTTATCAAGTCTGTATTTGGACTAAATCCTTACCTCCATTTGACCAAAATCAATAAGGTTTTGCAGATCAATGTCATCTCTGTAGTGGACGATGGCATTATTGATCATCTCAGTCACTTTACCCCGTGCCTTTGAAAAGTAGGGAAAAGTAGTTTAGCAGCACATACAAAAGAAGACATATATTCAGAGTGCGTAATATAAAATGTGAGACAGTTGGAATCTACAACAATGATGAAGTTAGTAACAGTCTTATAAAAGCATATTTACGTATTCATTAATACAATCAAAGCTGACTTAATGATTGTTTTATCACACCATAAATCCAACTTCCTCTTCAGGTCTGCCTGCCTGAAACAAACTAAATCATATTTAACAACTGTGAGCAAACTCTGCTGTGTTTCATGAGTTTATTCAAATTTAGCTGCAGTTACAGACAAAGCACAGCAGGTCGAGTGCTTTCGTTGTTCTTCATAATAAAAAAAGGACGAATACAGGAACATCTACCCAAAGAAAGAGTCTAAAAACAAATTGATTTAACTTTTTCAAGGAACATTAATATCATTTTGAATCTTCACCTTCTCACAGATGACTAGTATTGATGTAGATTCTAGTAATATGTTATATAATGCATTAGACTTTGGTTGGATTTAGTTAAAATCCACCAACAACAAAGAAATGACTTTGTGTTTATGACCACTTTTGAACATTTTGATCATTTTATTTATTCTGTTTCTTTACCGTATCAGAGAAGATAAAGCCCAGGATACCAGCAGTGAGCTGGAGCAGGAAGATCACCGTCAGAGAAATACAGAACTGGGAGGGAAAGACAGACACGGTCAGAACACTGTAAAAACGGATCTGTTTTGTGTTCTGTCTTTAAAGGACTGATTCAGCGGGATCCTGTGTCTCCATGTAAACTCAGCTGTTAAGACTGAACTGACAGTTTGACAGTGTTTTAGGTTTTTTATTCCTAACTTGTAATAAGTACATTCCTTTATACGACACAGTAAAAGTTGGCTTTGTGAGTTCAGATTTGACCCATGACCCCACTGTATGTCACACAGTATGTGTTTCTCCACTATTATAGGTCTACAAACCAAAATATAGACAGTGCATTTATGCCTAGTGGTTGAAAAACTCCCCGACTGGCTTACTGTCTGCAGGAGGCAGATGTTTTCTCGCAGGGAGCCCACACAGCCACAGAAGGTGAGGACGAACATGAGGACCCCCACGACCAGCAGCATCACAGCGGGGTCCACTGCCAGACAGGCCAGTGCTGCCTCTGAGGTAAAGAGGAGAATAGGATGAAGTGAACATAGAGCGTCTGTCTTTCCATTAAATGACAGGATTCACACTTTCATACAGTAGCATGAAAACATTTATGGAAGTTTGTTTTCAAGCATCTTTCTATTTATCTAATTTTACAAACACATTTAATTTCCTTTAAGAGATCTTGAACAACACAGATTTGGAGCCTCTTTTCCCACTGTGTTGTTTGGTTACTCCCACATTAAACATGAAGAAGGACTGCATTCTCTATCCATAGATGATTTTACCTGCATGTTTCATCATGCGGGCATACACACCGATCAACACCATCACCAGGGAGATTATCTGAAGAAGAGAAGATCACATATAAAAGTGATTATCCCAAGCTTTCTTTACATTTAGTGCATTTCAAAACTGGGGCACAGAAACACAGACCTCCAGTGGGTGAAGAATCATCTCTATGTTAATGCTTGCCAAGGGAGTGGCACCATTCAGCAGAAAACTTAATCATGATACGAGGAGAGATAAACAGGATTTGACTCATCGACAAGACTGTACTGAGGACCACAGCATTCTTTGATTGTGCCATCTGCTCTGTTTCCATTTGACTAAATCGGCGTGGCAGCAATCTGTACCCTTCCCTAAAAAATAAAGACCCTTTCACTCAGCGCTCCCAGGCTCAATAGAATAATAGGGAGCCCTCAGAAATACTCTTCCCACCCTGAATGAAATGGATCCAGTTACCACAGACACTGCGCCTTCTCGGTGGCTGCCTGTTTTTGCAAAGGTTTAGTTTCACAGTGAGTTAAGTGGACAAACACCTGAAGCAAGCAGGTTGAAAAAAATACATGTTTGAAAATGTGTAAGGAAATGTTAACAATGACACCTAAAATTAAACTTGTGAAATCACATGCTGCTTTGGTGATGTAACCGATTTACTGTACTGATTCTGTTACGCACCATTGTAACAGACTGCTACTTACAAAGGTTATAAGAACAACTGGACCTTCCGAGGAAATTTCCTAAGATTACAGACAACCACAAGAAAAGAAGCACAAACTTGTGTACAGAGCTCATTGTAGCCAGAGGCAACAGAAATGATAACAGCACATTCCATGTTGAGGAGCTTCAAGTTTTTACACAGCCCTATGCTTTGTACAAGGCATCAAGTCAGGTTCACCGCTTGAACAGGGCTCACACACTCATACTGGATTGTTTCAAACAGAGAACGGATCAAGAAAAGCTACAGACTTTAAGATTTGTTTGATTTGTTATCTAGTTCTCATTTTCTATCCCATTTGTATTGCTCAATCAGAAATAAGAAAGTCTCCTCACTCTGAACTAAACCTCATCAGGTTTAAGCTGCAACAACAGATCAGCTCTGAAAATGCTGTTAAGAAATCTCCTTGTGTTACAGTCGCCAAGCACCTGACACTGAAAGTCACTGACATGAACTTTGCTTTGTTTACAGCCCACTGCTGAGCTTTGCTGTTCATTTCAGCTGAATTCTTTACTTTTGAAGTCTAAAGTTGCACAATTATTAACATCTTACCTGCTGTGCTCATTTGAAACTTAAAAAAACTACACAGTAGCAATGTTTCCCTCAGTCAACAAACTGACCCACCTCTCACACAAATCTTCATGGCACAATCAGCATATGAATCAATGAACGGTTTATGCACCTTGGCAACTGTCAGTTATGTGGTACAATACAGTGTGGTACCTGAAAAAAACCACAGTAGTTTTGTTTGTGTGTGTGTGTTCATGCATTGGTATTGAGATGACAACAATTTGAGAAAAACAGGTTCTGAGCTCTGAAAAAGGAACCACAATCTGAAGATATATTCCTGATTTGCAAAGAAGAAATAACACTTAGTCACTGTCCAATCACCAAGCAGCAAACACCTGGTGTGTGTGTGTGTGTGTGTGTGTGTGTGTGTGTGTGTGTGTGTGGACATCTTTCACCCTTCTGTGAAACACCAAAGTTAAACAACAACTAAAAGTCAAACAAAGCAGCATGTGCCAGCAAACAAAATCTAGATCTTTCACTTTCAGAGTAAACAGGAAACAGCATGTTGAACAACTGAAATCATAAGAAAAAGCATTTAAACTCCAGATTAGTTGTTAAAATATACTTTTGTGTGAGTAGCAGAGACTATCTCTAAATAAACCACCATTTGATCTTATCATTCATTATTAAAATAGTATAATAGCACTCACCCAGAATAGAAAATTAAATATGAAGAGTAGATATTTCACAATTGGGCTGACAAAGGAGAAATCCTCATCAGACCCAGGTGTTCCCCTGCGTCTCCCTCCCATGGCGACAAGTATCCAGGCGTCTAAACCCAAGTTTGCGCATAAAATGAGCTATCTGTAAGAAAAGACGTATTTCCAAAAGTTACACCAAAGACTGTTCAGCATAATGAGGAAAATGAGCTGCTGGTGTTTCTGTAGTTTTCCTGAGTCGACACGTACAGCCCCACAGTGACTAGTTACAAGCTGCCGCCAGCGCCGTCTGCCTGCCACTGACTGGGCGTGTAAGAACTGGGTGTGTTAGCATTGAGATCATATGAAACAACCATGAATACTTGCATGTGTTTTGCATGTCATATTTTTTTGGTACTTTTCTTATCACTTATTATTACAGTTTCAGTGTAGTGGTCACTCTGAATGTGAAACTTCAACCTCAAGCTGGTGGATTTACTTAACACTTACATTTATTAAAAGTGTTATTTTGAGTCTCTAAGTACACACAGCTTTTGTTCATGCAATAGGCTATAACGTGGGACTAATGATGAAAAGTTTATTATCATCAATCAGTTATATCCGAATGTATAAATGCTTTTAATAAATATTAAAAGATAAAATACATTAATATCATGAGTCAAATCTTTCTATTTAACTCTAAGACGAGAATCCTTTTGCTTACACAGGCCCTCTTTTTTTACAGCAGTCATTTTGACATGTCATAGATAATACATACATAATTCATAAAATGCCCGTACAGTCCTCCTGATTTCACTAATTTTCATAAAGTGTGTGTTTTCATTTCAGGGGAAAAATTTAATCTAATACTACTCTGATTGGCTGATTGTCAGTCTATTGCATGCGGCATTTAGAGTTAAAAATTTACTAATATCCCTCTACCAATTATTTTTCAGTTCTTCTATGACTGTTGATTGTGGGGTGGTTAACAGGGTGGTTTATCAGAAAACCTGGGAGGGGATGTTCTTGAGAAGTCCTGGGTTACAGATAAACGAGACGACTGGCGCCATCTGCTGACAGAAAGTGCTATTTTGCCAATTTTGTATACAGGATCATCTGTGTATGTGACACACGGATAATTTGCTACTCTTCTCCTATCCGCTCTATATGATATTTTGCTTACCGCCATCACATTGACATGTTTTGCTTTTAGAGTTCAACGTGCCGACTTTTATTTTGAAGGAAAACGCACACGCAGGACAGTTTTCATAACATCCGTTTTACCCGGAAGTTATAAATGTGTTTTCCAGTTCTGTAAAATGAATGCTAAAGTAGTATTTTGTTAATTGTTTAGACGTTTTTAAACCACGAGAATGTCGTGGAAAAGCAAAGGTTTGTCTGTTTTATTATCTAGCTGTTTGCTAGCATCAGTATTCATTTATTGCAGCGTATAATACAGTTATTAAAACAGTTATTAAATTAACGTAAGCTAATCCTCTGTTTTGGGAACTGGAGATGTGGACAGATCGCATGTTAATGGTTATTTGATCCTCTGTAGAAGAACAAACTGTATCCATTCATTGCAAAACACTTGTCTCCAATGCCGTTTGCAGGTTCCCCTCTTCCCCCAGCCTCCTTACATCTCCTGGTTCCTCCAGTGAGACTTATGTCTGCTTTCATATGGCAAATAGTGCAGCAGCACAGTGTGATGCAGTATGACAAGCTGGTGGACTTCATCAGTTTGGTAACAGAGATCGTCCCTGAGCTCCTGAGTCCACTTCAGAGAGCTCAGCTCATCCTGGGCCTGAGAGCGAGGGTGAGGAATGACTGAGCTGTGAATATATATGTATATATATGTGTGTGTGTATCAATATATATACACAAGCTATATATAGGCTGTATGTAGACACTTAAGTTTCCAGTCTGGTTGAATAAGGTAGTACTGAGTAGAGACATAGCCATTGAAAACCAACATTTCTATAGTTAACAAAAACTATCAACTATGGACTTTAAATTGCCACTTTTAAGCCAAAATTGATGAGAAGTCCTTAAAGAGCTTGTAAATAAAATGGAAATTCAAGCATTTACATCTCCATGTCAGCTTCATTGTTGAGGAAGAGCTTGTGATACCATCTAAAGCTGGAGAACAGCGATTCAGCGGACGTTTTTTCTTTGTTTCTGTCAGTTCCTGCATCCAAGGCCATAAATGAAATTTCAATCTCAACATGTCTGTACATTTTATTTTTTGTGTCTAAAGCATATTGGGTTTAGTTCCATCGTATTGTTGTTTTTATCTTGTTTGAAATTTTAGTTTGTGTCTTGTTATTAGTTACTTGTATATTTTAACATATTGTTGCTCTTTCTCATAATGTAACTAATTTTCCTTGCTGTGTCATGCTCTTTTGAGTTACCTGTCTCCCACCTTTGCCCATCTGCAGCTGGTTCTGGAGCTGTGTCGTGGTGATGGCGTCGCCAACTTGCAGACCATCCAGAGCCACCTGGATAAAATCCACGCCTGTAGTGTTGAACTGAGCTCCACCGACCAAATGGTGGGCTAGCAAAACATGGAAGACTCACATACATTTAGAAATCCAGGGCTTTCTGATACTGCTAGAAATATGGAGTTCACAGATATGGAGGGAAATAAATGATCAGTGTCAGCGTTAAGAAGACACATAAAAATTAAAACCCAGAGTAATTGAAACCTTTCTCAACTTTTTTGTTGTCCTCTTCTTGACAGGCCAGTGGTGATCTTCTGAAGAGCTCATATACCAACTTTGCCAACCTGGTTCAGAACCTTTTGAATGTTCCTTTTGAAAAAGAGTTCTTCTTCCAAGTGAGTCTCTGAAAAATATATTTCCTCAAGATCAAGGGAACAGACGGGATGCAGATTTATTTTATTATGACACATGACAAAGATTAAATGTTGAACAGCTTTTTAAGGAAATGTATGAGCTATTCTTTACAGTCTAAAAATTGACCAGCCCTTTACAACAGAGATAAATCCGAAGCTCTGGCTGTTTCTGTAGGAGGTTTTTCCTGCAAACTATGGCTCTGCCTTCGACCAAAGACTGCAGCAACTGGTGTCCGAGCTCCTGTCCAGGCTGGAGCAGCTGCTGCCCATACCAGACCTGCAACAAGTACGCAACAAGACACCTCACACTGTTACATTTTTAATCCTGAAAAATCCTGTGAAATCAGAAGAAAATCATTTATTGGTCACATCTTAAACGAAGAAGATTTTGAGCCACAGCTTCTCAGTGTCACTTGATTTTCTCCTTATCGTGCTACAGCTTTGAGCTTTGTAAGTACATGACTCTTGTTTCACCTGCCGTCTCTGTGCTCTTCTCTCTGTGTCTCAGACAGCAGCGTGGCTCACTGACACAACATCTGTGTCAGAAGACTTTGGACAGCATCTGTCTGAACCCTTTGCCATGAAGACTCTGCTGCTTCATCACGGACAGCTGGGCACTCTCAGCTCAGGTGAGTTTAACAGAGATGGGGAAGACCTTTTTCAGGACAGAATTCTTGCCAACGAGACAAGAGGAGACATAGGACTACATTCTTTAATTCTTGTTTTCTTTCTTTCACAATAAATATACGTTTGTTTCAGAGTTAGTGTCTCAAATGTGTAAAATGTTGAATCCTTCCCTCTTTACAGCTCCGTCAAGCAGTGAGGAAGATATCCTTCTGTCCACACTGGCCCTTCCCTCTCAAGCTGCAGTGGGGAGATTCACTGAGGCTTACAGTGAGGAGGATGATGATTATGACAGTGAGCAAGAAACCCTGGCGATGGAGGGTTTAGAAGCAGAAGACTCAGGTCAAAGCTCAGACGTCACCACAGATGAATGGTCGCCAAAAAAGGAATCTGGTAATGACAAAAGCAGTGGCAGCAGCAGACCAGAACTGACCCAAAGGCAGTCAATGTGTTTGTACTAATGTGCTGTGTTTTTATGCTGTTCCCAGGTCCTCTGTCACGTTTATTCATCTGCCCTCAGTGTTCATTTGCTCACCGCCAAAAGAGGAAGGTCCAAGAGCACATCCAGAGTGAGCACCACAAAACGGCTCCCATTCAGAAAAAGCTATCTGTGAAAAAAGCCAGAGCAAAGATTCAGCAGAAAAGTAAAGACTTGAACACTGAAAAGAAGAAAGTAGAAGACAACTCGGAGAAAAAGAGGAAAAACAAACAGAAAGACGTTGTTGAAAAAAAGCGGGAACGTAAGCAAAAGAAAGACAACTTGGAAAACAAAGAACGACGGAGACGGAAAGAGCCCACGGGGGAAGACAAAAGGTTTCTAAGCATGCGACCGGCGAACAAAAACTTCACAGAGGAAGAGACTAAATGCCTGAAGTGTGAAAAGATTTTTGAACATCCAAATCAATTGAAGACCCACGTGAAGCTCCACAGCTTCCGGTACCGCTGCAACCAATGTGAGAAGGGATTCACCAGCCCATCGGGTTATTATCAGCACCAGAGACTCCACAAGAGAGGACGAATATTCATCTGCAGCCAGTGCAACAAGGGATTCCTGTGTAATTACTCGCTCAAGCAACATGAGCGCCTGCACCAAGGCCCCTCCAACCTGTGCACCATCTGTGGGAAAAGCTTCAGCAAGGCGGGCATTACAAGACACATGCAGATGCACAGAGGGGAGAAGAATTACCTTTGCACCACATGCGGCAAGTCGTTTTTGTCGTCAGGGGAGCTGCTGCTGCACACTCGCTCGCACACGGGTGAGACGCCGTACACCTGCACCCACTGCGGGAAGGGTTTCTCCAGCAAGAGCCACCTAAACGTCCACACGCGCTCTCACACAGGGGAGCGTCCGTACCTGTGCTCAGAGTGCCCGAAGCGTTTCCTCACGCTGAACTGCCTGAAGAGACACACACTCAGCCACAATGGGGTGAAACCATTTAAATGTCCCAACTGTGAGAGAGAATTCTCCCAGCAGGGGAATCTGAAAAGACATTTGGCAACTCATAAACCGGACACATAATGCGTAGCTTTAATTCAAACTTAATTTTAAAACTGGAATTTTTTTTTGAAAACCTGTATGAAATGTAATAGTAAAGCTTTTGTTTATTGAATATTATATTCATCATTTGCAGTGATGGGATCTGCATTTCTTTGTTCATATGATCCTTGGAGATCTTCACCACTGAAAGTCGTGTTATGTCATGTTTCTGGGAAAAAATCTTTAAAAGTAAAGATTTTAAAAATTATGGATGTTTGCTTTGATTTCTTCACTATATGCAATTCTCTAACCTGTGCTTTTAGTTTTGACTCTGCCCTTTAAGAGTCTTTAGGTCTA